TAGCTGTGTAGGCTATCCTTTTAGCTACATCAGTTGGTGATCCTTAAAAGTCAGCAAACATTGTAGGCTATATTTCCAAGTGTTTTCACATTTCGGGGCATTTTTAACATTTTCCTGAATAACTTTTGGGTGGAGAAGATGACTTTCAGAGATTGTTTACTGTAACCAGCTACCTAATCAATCAGTTTATTATTTATAATACAGAAACACACAACAGTGAACCTATGCACCAGGGGTCTGTACCACGAAGCAGGATTTGAGCTTATCCAGGTAACTTCTGGTTAACCCTGGGTTTTCAGTACCACGAAGGTGGTTCACTTCTTACCTGGTCGATCGCCTGGTAACTTATGCTAACCGGCTAACCTGCTCCGGAGCGGGTTATGTTCCAGACAAGAGATCAACTCTATTAAAACGCCGCCTACTGACCAATCAGCTCTTTTGGAAAATGACATCACCATCTTTAGGAAATCCCACAGACTGGTTTGTAGGCTGCTTTATGTTTGCTGCGGTGATACGGAGAAACTCTTGTAGGCTAAAGCGATATCATCCTACAGAGATTGATTAAAAGCCTTAGGCTATTGTTGCCTACAGGTTTTTACAGTAAGCCTACTTACTGCTTTAAAATGTGTTTAATATTTTTTATTTGCTCCCAGTCCGTTTCACACAGCCTGTCGCAGCCGTTAAAATAAATGGGTTTAATTTTTCTTATGTTAGGCTGAATATTATGAGCAGTTTGGTAGAGATATTGAAATACTAAATTTTAATATGAACATAGGCTTTTACGTTAGTAGTTTTCTTATAGGCCTAATACAGAGACTGGTCATGTAGCCATACCTCCCCACCTTTTGTGATGTGGGCGCAGGTAAGTGAGGTGACTTTTCAGCAGCCTAAATGTTGAGATCCAGTCTCAACCACTATTTGAGCACATTTTATGGCATGAATGGATTTTTAATATCATTACTTTATGAAGTTAATATATAACACTTTTTGAATTAATCTCATTTTTGAAGTGAGGTGGAACGACCACTTCTTCAGTGCCAGAGTCTTTTAATGTGGAAACGCCGACACAGTCGAGCTGAAAGAATAAGGCTGGTATTTTCATACAGTTCATAAGAACACATCAAATCAACGCATTATTATAGACTACGCCTGTTCATTTAGGCATTCACACTGAATTTCTGTCTCCCTGCATGTCGGTCAGCTGCAGCCGTGCTACTTAGTTGGGATGTCTATCTCGCATTTCTGTAGAGTTAGTTTGCTCGTTTGTAAAATATGCTACTCTGCTTCCAACACTGCCTCTTTTATGTGAACGCGCTCATGGCTGGATTGGGAAACACTGGTTTGAGTTACCAAGTAGATAACCAGCTTGGTGGTACCGCTTATCCTGACTGCGATTGTTAGGGTTAGTTAAGCCAGATAACAGATCCCAGGTTCCTTACACCAATGCAACGGTGGTCATCATCTTATCTGAAGTAGGCCATAAATGACCACTATTGCTGCCCAGGGCCTGTAAATAATATAACATTGACAGAATATTTCTACATCAATTTACATGCAGAACAAGGTTTACTATTTTATAGTAGTATGTATTATTTTAATTTAATACTTTACTTTCCCTTAGTTTATGGTTTACCATTTACTATGTGCGCTTCCATGGGAGCTGCCATTGTTGTGTGACGTCATTACTACTCATGAATTCGGGGTACACATTTTTTCTCCGAGTTCACGAGTAGGAAATCTGACTTCAAGTGGCATTCCATACTTTTTCTAGTTGGATGTCAGAAATTTCCCAGTTCCGAGCTGCCTGAAACACAGCATAAACACTGTAGCAACACGTCCACAGACAGCAGTTGAACAGCACTGTTTATGAAAATTTATGAGACACAAGTACACAGAAGTGCAAATATACAGTATAAACTACAGCTTTCACTTACTGTTGATACTCAGAGCAGCCATCACCTCTACTTTTTAGCTAACTACTTAAAGGAAGTGGAAGATGTGTACTGGGCAGTCTGCCGATTGTAGAGTAAGTATTTAGAGTATTTATAAGTATGCTACTTTTATTTTTAAGCATAACTTTAAAACGACTGAGCACTGATAGATAACATTTCAAACAAAAATGTTTACTATATTCCTCCTATAACACATCTTATGTCTCACTTTTACCACACCACAACCAGAAGTGACAAAGCACATTAGATTCAGTCAAATACCGCAGGCCATATATTCTCAGACATACAGATACATATAAGTGCTTGAGAGGATATCTCACACACACGCACGCACACACATCAGTCTCCAAATGCCTGCCAGAGCAGAAGCCAAGAATCCCTGGGAAGAGTTAAAACAAAGCTTTCCACTCAACAGCCAGATGGGATAAATTAATCCTCCATCTTAACACAACACTAAACGTTCAACTTAGTACGTGTGTGTGTGTGTGTGTGTGTGAGAAAGTCAGAGGAAGAGGGGAGGGAGGCAGACACTGGGATGTCCCACCATTTCTCCCCTCTTGGATGAACTTTTCTATAAATCTCACATCCTCTCCAGCTCCTGTGGCCAGGGCCAAAGGACCATCCATGAACTTGTCCCTAAATCTCTCTGTTTGTCTCCTCATCCATTGAACCGCTCCGCAGGCACCTCTAAACTTGTGTGGGACTCCGCCCCACTTTGTATCTTACGACCTCATTTAAAAAAATTCCTGTCTCTCTTCCTTCAGACATTCCTCAGTGTTCCCCCGGTGCAGCCGTTTGGCACCAAATTCATTTTCCCAGAACCTCCATCTGCAGTTATCCCCAATCATCCGGGAACTCTGATGTATCCCAGCCCCGTGTATGGACGCAGCTCAGACTAGAGGTGGGAGACATGACCATAAAATAATATCACAATATTTCAAGGTATTTTTGCGATAATATTTTTGAGGATATGACAAAATAGTTAAAAAATATTACTGGATTCGAACTCAATAACAATAGCTGTTGAGCTCTCCTCCCTACTCAACCAAGTGCTTCTGCTTGAGGTAGTGAAATAAGTTTGCTGTTTGGCCCCCTTTAAAGTCTTCTTGCACTTTTTACATGTTAACTTGGTTTGTTGTGATTCTAAAGTCACTCTTTTTGGAACTAACATCTCCACTGTGGAGCCGGTCGCAATGTTACTTTTGCTTTTTGCCTTGCTTGTTGTTGCAGTGTGTAACGGTATGACAGCATTACATCACCAAGTCAACAATATAATTTAAAAAAAATCATATTAAATATTATACCGGTAGATCATTAAATATGTTAAGGCACACCCCTCGCTCAGGCTGGATTGATTAAACACCGCCAGGGTACTGGCAGAGACTTTAAAAAGCATATTAATTTTCACAACTATAAAGGTCTTCTATGGTGAAACTTTGTGAAGAAAATTACCTACCTACACAGTTTTTTTCTAGCATAAAAGCATGACTCAGAGAATGAGCCATGGCCTAGTGGGAAACTCCATACAGAAACTGTGTGTGGGCTACATGGGAATGTGTGTGCGCAAAAAGACACTATTACTTTTAGACTTACACTTCTGCTGACTGCACACAGTCCTCTCCCACACATCCGTAATATTCATGTCTCTCTGCTATTTATGAGCCTTGTTCGTGACATTGACGTACGCCAGAACATCTTCCCTTACGCGACACACCAGGAAGGCTGTGGATTACAAATGTGACATTCCAGCAGGAAATTCCTTCAGCAAAGGAGGCAAGGGCGGACTGTGTGCAAGTGTGTGATGGGGGTGCTCTGTGTCTTCGAACACGACATCCAACACCTCGTGCTCTCTTTCTCTCACTGTCGAGCGGGACATCCCGTTTTCATGAATGGCCTTGGCTTCAAACGCCTGCCGACCACGAGCACCAGCTCTCTCTGCATCAAACACACTCCCAGCAACATACAGTATATCTCACCTATTTACAGCATCTGTCCCCTGTCAGCTGACCTCACTGCAAAGCATGTTTTTTTTTTTCAATGTTGCACTAATTTCCTGATAGCACTCCTGCAGTCCACTTGCAGTGATATGAGGAACAGAAACCTGAGTACTCTGCTGATGATGGAAATTTTTTAACAGCCCTGCCTACCTTTGTTTCTCAGCCAATGACCTTGTCAGTACTTATTATAATCTTTTCTCCTCTTTTTTATGCATTGGTAATCATAGTATGTAAAAATGTATCTAATTCCAACAAATGCAAGGATAGACTGGGCTAACTCAACAAGCAATAAAGGATCTCCAAGATAGTGTTTTATGCCTCCACATGCCAGAACTAACAGTCACAGGTGTAGTTAGTCATCATTTGATTTTCCTGTTCATCACTTGCACAAGCATGCATGGCAAGCTCATAAAAAAAGTCATGAGAAATGTGCAAGCACAGGTCTGTAGTAGCTACACCATTCAGAAAACAGTGAACGCCACTGTCAGTCAAACAACCTCAACATGGGAAGAAGCTTTAAAACAGTCACAGACTTAATGAAGTACAGATCTGACAGAAGTGATTTAATTCTCACTAATGAGTTTTGTTATCAATGTCGTCTCAATAGTAATCCATTAAATCTGTGGGACACAATAAGAGGGCAACATTCTTCTTTCTGGCCCCATCTTTTACTGCAGTGGGGTTTGTTTCAGTTGCCAAGAGGGCAGACAATGAATCATTTAACAGAAGACATGAAACAAATTAGAAAATTATTCTGTCTGCATTCCACAGAAGAAAAGGAGAGGCCTCCCACGGCGTGTGCCTAATAAGTTCAGCTATTTTCTCAGCAGAGACAATCAAGAATGCCACCAAACACAGACATAAGACAACTGGGTGGCACTACTAATTAAGCTATGCAAACAACAAATGTGTGTGTCTGTGGGTAAGGGAAACACAGAAGGGAAACAAGTGGATTTATGTTCTGAACTGTCCTGTCGTTATATGGGTTTTACTGCAGTAGCCTAACTGACAGAAGCCCCTTGTTGATGCTGGGTAGTCTAAACGGTCTTACCAAAGTAGTCAGCCTTTGGTTGGGCATCCATCTCTTTTTCGAGCCGCTTAGTGAGGGCTTCTAATTTTATTTCCGCTGTTGAGGGCCCCTGTGCAGGGGGCTGCGTGAGGAGAGGCTGGCAGAGTAGTTGGACAGGCTTAGGGGGGCACAGGACTTCAGCTTCAGCACTGACGGCCTGTCCACTGCCGGGTTTTTGGTTCTGACCTTGACCCTGGCTGCTGATTTTAGAGACGTTACCAGGGATCAAGGCAGCAGGTGTCACCAGGGCTTTGGGTTGAGGTGTTTCAGAAGGTGCCGGTGGGAGCAAGGAAGCTGCCACAGTACCATTGTGGCTGGCAGAGGGCCTTGAGGTTAGAGAAGGTGGTGCGTAATGGGCTCCAGACTGTGTGGAGTGCTGCTGAATGGGGAAGTCAGCTCCTCCTGTGAAGGCACTCAAAGGCAGGGCAGGGATGAGGTCCGGTTTTGCGGAGCCAGAGGGCTCTCCGGCCCATCCCCTGGCTGGCCCGGCTGAGGAGGGTGGACTCCGGTTTACAGATGGGGTGACAGCCTGATTCTGGTGGGATGTTAGACTGGTGGCGGTGGGAGGTACAGACTGGCGCTGGGGCTGCTCCTGAGATAAACTCCCAGACCCAGACCAAGATGGGGAGAGCTGGCTCTCCGTGGATGGGGCCCAAGGAGCCGGCTGGCTGACTGGTTGACGAGCATGCGCGGGCGTGCTATGAGGCGCGTTTCCTGGACTGGGGGGAGTATGGGTGCTGTGCTGATATGAATGTGACTCTAAGCGCTCCATATTTTCATAATTATTTCCGTAGCCATATGCCTTGCCGGCTGGAAGCTCAGACTGAATGATTGTGTGTTTCTGGCCGTCAAACGGTGCGGACTGAGTCCCAGCCGTGGTGCCTGGCACAGGGCCAGAGACTATCGGGGGCTTCGCTGCCGCTTCACCCGGCTGTCTGTAACTATTGATGGGCGGTCTGTCTTTGGTGCAGTATGTGCTGCTGTGGCCCCCATTCATTTTCATGGCATTGTTGTTTTTTGCCATCTCCTCTTGGTGTTTCTGCATGTGTATTTTAGTCATTTTGGAGGCAAAAACTTTTCTTGTCTCTTCAAAGTCGGGGTTATTTCCCGCATCCTTCCTCGTGCGAAATAAACCATCTCTGGATGCTTCATACATGTTTAGGTCCTCGATAAATTTACTCGCCTCGAGTCCTAAATCCTCGTATTTATCCATTTTGAAGATACTTTGAGTTTCTGCTTCAGTAAAGAAAAGTTACAAGTTGTTATCTTAAAAGGCTAAAGCCTAACTAAATCACAAGTCTGTAATGTTTAGAGTTACAGAGTAACGTTATTTCCAGAGTTTTAGCTTACAGTCCAGCAGCTCGTAGTCTTGACAGGACAGGGCTCCAGACCCGCGGTGAAACTTTTCTGTTATTCCAAAACTCCCCCCTTCGTCTTTTAATCGTCCGAGGTCAACAATTAAAAGTTTAAAACTCCGCGTCCTCCTCGGTGAAACGGCCGCCCGTTCAGCTCAGCTCTGCCCCGAACAAGCCGCCGTCTGTCTGTTTATAAATGTGAGCCGATCCCAGATCCGATAGCCTAGGCGACCCCACAAACTGCCCCCTCCTCCCGCCTTACACTCCCAGCGGGGAACATTCATTCAAAACTTTATCCTCCGCCACCTCCGGCGAGAAAAAAGAACTTCAAAGTAATTCAAATAGCTAATGTCGTTCGCTGATAAAAGTAGTCTACCGTTAACGAGCAGACCGTGAGATAACCGTTGGAGCACGGAGCCGTACGTGGCCACCGGTCGTCAGTTGGGAATGAAAACTGGGAACAGTTTGTTTTTTAAAGGTGCAGTGCTCAAATTAAGCCACAAGTCAGAGTTGAAGCCAACCAGCGCTGGTATCAGTCACGTCAGCTTACATGTAACTAGCGATGTCTCGTCTTAAAATAGCGGAACCTGGGGGCAGATGTTCGTCCTCTTGTTCAGCCCAAACTGGCTCTTACATCCTGTGTCAGGTTTAAAAATACCGAGAGCTAGTTGACTCAGCCGCTTCATTTTGAGTCACCCAAGCACTTCAGCGTTTTCCTTTTGCTCCATAAAATGAAAAGGCTGAACTGGAAGTGTAACGTTACGGAGTGGAGTTTTTGCTGTGATAGAATACAACTAAAAACATTTATTAAGTGTCATATTAAATAAATTTGAGTAAAAGTAAATTTGAGGTAGGCTACTTTTCCTTGACTCCACTGCAGTTTAGAAGGAAATATTGTACTGTTACTTCACGTCATGTAGCCTTCTTGACAGCTACAGTTGCTAGTTAGCTAGCATACTTTATTAAGATTTTACATAGCCAAAAAAACATTTAATCTGCTTATAATATATTAAGCTATTTATCAAACAACAAATAGCCGACTTAAAGTTAGCTCCACCTCCACCACTGAGAACTTTTACTTTTCATAGTCAAAACTTCAAATGCAGAACTTTTAAATGAGTGTTTTACAGTGTTGTATAATGAAGTAGAGGATCTGAATGCTTCTTCCACTGCAAAGACGAGGAAAAATAAAGTCAACGGGGGATGGGTAATTATTTTGGTATGTTTAGGCCCACACTGGTAATGTTAACATATTAATCTTGCTTTAAAAACACACTTTGATAGATACATGTGGGTAGATAAAAGTGATCTGTAGCACTATGACACAACATTTTAAAGTTTCCTGCATCTAATAAACAATCTATGTAGTGAAGTAAACAATAACTATACTGTAACTGTATGGGTGTGTTTTTCTTCTGGTTAAGGGGGGCTATTTACAGTGCCTGTGCCCCTTCTGTTTTGGTTGAGTGATGTCACACATTCCTGCTCATCACCCCCCCCACACACACACACACCCCACACACACACACTGACCCCTCCATTTTGTGTCGACCCTGGCTGGAATATTTGAGACAGTGTTAGGGTACAATAGGATGAACTCATAATGTGTATGGAGGAAAAAAGGCTCAATCTCACAGCAAACACATAGGGACACATTATTTGTGTCCTGAATGAGCCTGAGTGTGCATAAATTGTCTGACAGACACAGTTTATGTGAAAAAATTTGGAGCCAGTAAGCTGAGGGGGACTCTAGGCAGCTGCTGGCGGTGTAATTAAAACAGAAGGTTTATAAGGCATGACCATCTGTATGGTTGGGAAACAGTCATCATAATACAGCATTCCCTTCAAGCAATAGGCTTAAACTTGCTTTACTTCTTTCTTACATATTTTCACAAAAACAGACCCTCAGCTCTTAAAACCCCCAGAGACCTCGTTCACTCGCAAACTGGTGTTAAGACAGTAGGAATGAGTGACCACACATCCAACAGAAAGTTGTTGCTGCAGCAAAAATGGAGACATACATGCAATTTATAATGTGCATGACTGCAACATCCATTTGAGCAAGGAGTCATAAAGCAGTCTCTATTATATTTAGGCATTTAAAATTAAACACTGCATGTGTCACATTGCTCATATGTTTTGTAATGGACTAGTGAGGTTAATTCATGCACGTGGTAACAACAGCAGGGGATTTGGAAAATTTGAGATCATTTGGTTTCACCGATTAGGTTCATTGGCCCATTTGTGTAATTAGCGCCTAATTAAAGTAGGAAAAACTAGAAAGATGTGGATTCGAACTTTACTTCCAAGTATTCAGACACTCCACACATTCATTTTTACTACTAGATCTTAGGGTTTAGGCAATATTTCTTCAGGCATACAAAGCCTTATTAGTTTTATGGGGTGTTTGGCCCTGTTTGCACTTGGCATGAACATGGGTCTTGGATGATCCAATGGACAGCTTCAAGTATGTCAATTCACATATCGTGTCTCCAGGTGTCTGGAGTGAGCACCTGTCATCGGATCATGCTCTATATGCCAATAAACAATGAGTGGAGATCAAATGAGTTGTTTTTAACCTGAGTTAATCATGTACGGTTTATCAGAACACAAATGAGACAAGAATTAAGTTGGGAAAAATGATAGATTCTAGAGGTGTGGAGTATTTCCAAAGGCCTGGCCTCACTGATTACTTTACAAAATACAACTTTATTCACTGATTTTGGTGAAACTGGATCATATGTCATGGAGAAAATATTTTTTCCTGATGGGACAGATAGCTTCACTTGTTGCTAAAGTAACCGCGAACTGCTGCAAACTGTAGATGCAGTTAGCTCACTTAGCCATGCAGCCAGCGGTTGTGTACAGTAAACAGATGAATAAATTTGGCAAGTGTGGTGTGTTCACATGCATGCCAAGACTTTAGCTTTATACTCAAAACAATAAAAAGGACTTGGGAAAATCTGCCTGTACAATGAGCTCACACAAAAAATTCCCACGGATGACCAAATTACCAGCCTAGAGGCCAGCGTCCGAGATAATGAGCTGTGGCATTACAGCGTCCCCCTGTGAGAAGACACAGCCCAGTCCTGGGACTCAACTGGTGCACTGGAGGGTGACTGCGCTGCTGTGCACTCCACCCTGTTTCTTTCGCCAGCAGAGGTTCTCAAGAGGAGGGGGTGTGATTTTCTTTAGCTCATCAAAGACAATCCATGCTGTACATCTCATGTGTAAGAAAGACAAAGACTGTGGTCTGGAGAGAAAGTGAGTCACAGTGGAATACTGTTGCCTATTAAATAATCCCAGTTGTCATGGAAACTGCAGAGCTGACGAAAAGTGTTAAATGGCTCCAGGGGCTGTTAGTGACAAAATTAATTATTAGAGCAAATGCAGTACAGCTCAGACTTCATTTTACTGAAAACACTGGTCAGAAATAACCATCTCTTATCTATTTAATCAAGCAGTGTGCAAGTGTTTCCTGGAATTTCCAACCTATCCAAAATTACTACAATGATGCCGTTTTCCATGATACAGCAACTTCAGCTCATTGTTGGCCAGGCCAAGTTCAGACCTGTTTATCAGCTGGTGTTAACTAGCAAGGAGAGTGAAAAGGAGAGTGTGTAAAGAGCTGCAGCAATAACAAAAAAAAAGAGGAAGACGTCAACCTCCTAATTAATCGAATTCTCATTTCATACAGCCAGTCTGAAAGTGTGAAAGAAAACATGGCACACAAAGATGAGTTGACAGAAGATAACATATAACATCTATCTTTATGTAGTACTTTCCGTTTTGAGCTGGTTGAGATCAATTTCACTGAATCTGAAGCAATACAGAGAATAACTAAGAGTTTAGTCCCTTTGCCCCCTCCCCTTATTCCTGGTTTCTTTCCTGTTATTCTGTCTCTCCTGTGAGCCTTTTCCTGTCACCTGATGGTCAAAGATAGAGCACAAGTATGGGTGGGGGGGTCAGTGAGATCATTAAGGAGTGCTCTGTGTGTTTTTGTATCCATGTTCAATTGAAAAAGTCACAAGCGGAACATAAAAGCATTTCCTCAAACAGAAGTCAATGTTGCAAAACTGACACGTGTGTCTCACATTTCTTCTTGTTCATTCATACAATGATACCAGGCAAAATGGTACGACTACCAAAAGTCTTGTTTACAGGCGACATGGGAACTGCAAGTGCTTCTACATATCAAATAACTGCTTACTCACCAAGCCTTTAAAGATGGATACATTTCAGTGCTGCTGGCTTCTCTGCCTGGACATTGCTAATGGCTGAGTCATGCTATTCCAATGCTGATACAGAGACACTGAGCAGTTGAATAGTTCAGAAATTGACAACCAAGATATGGTGACAAGCTGAAAAATCCCAGACCTCATTGGCCTCTTCATCGTCTTCCAAGTGACAGGATTCAAAGAGCACAGCGTCACGTTCAAAAGCCAAACAGGGGTCCGTGTATGGTGCTCTGAAGACACCTGCAGCTAAAAGCAGCATTAGAGGTAGAGACAAACACTGATAAGGCACATCATGACTGCATGACTCAGCCAAGATGCCAAGCATACAGCCGTATGGCAAGCTGAGAGGTGTGAAGTGGCGAAAGGGGGAATGTGAACAATGAATCTTCATGTGTGATTGTAAAAACATGAGAATGAGGGGCTAAGTCTCCCTCTGCAGCTTAATAGGACACTAGGAACCCACTGCTTCTTGAATCTTTTATTAAAAACAGGAAAATATATAATAAAATATATTTAGACATATTCACAGTGAAGTTATGACAGTTAATTTAAACTGACTCGCTTTGTTTTAATTTATGACATAAAAAGTCCACCCTATCTCTCTGTGCTGACTCACTGACTGACAGGAGTTCACAACCATCTAGCAGTTACAAAACAAGTGGCAAACGCCCAAACATCACTCGTCAACAAGGAAGTTGATGAGGGCGGTCCTGGGGGAGAGGATGGCTCTCTTGATGCTGCGCTCGCCGAGATGCTTCTGTCCAATCGGGCTCTCCAGGATGAGCTGCTGCACCCGCTCTGAATCTTTGGACACCTGCAGTGGCACGGTCACTGTCCCACAGGCCTTGTTATTTATCTGAGGGCAAGAATTAAGAGATAAAAAGATGAGATAAGTCACTAATCTGTTCTTTCAACTATTCCCCTTTCTCAATATGAATGAAGTTCTGTCCTGTCAGGCTGCACCCAAACTTTTCCTTCCTGGCATAAAAGGTCCCAAAATAACAAGACTCTACCGCTCCTTCCACATATACAGTGAACCCTGTAAACTAATAGTTAGTGGTAGGTATGGGAAGGGCACACAGTCTTGTAATGTTTAGAAGCAAGTGCATGCGTGCACACGGTGAATGTGATCATGTCTCTGGAAGTGGTTGAAAATGAATGGCGCACACATGTGTTTGTGTGTGTGTGTCTGAGGCCACTCAGCCTTGGCCTCCCTTCTGGGACAAACCCAAGTACATGATTAGAGGACAGAGGGAGAGAGGTTGCTTCCACAGGGCTGAGGAACCAACAACAGAGAGCTCAGTCTGAAGTAAAACCAACATCATCATCGAGCACTAGGAGCTCAAATATATGGTGTGTGTGTGTGTGTGTGTGTGTGTGTGTGTGTG